CTAACAATAACTCTAGTAACTCCATGATTACAGATCCAGTTATAAACCAATTATAGTCAGATTATAAACAACATAGACTGGTTTATATTCCATTTAAATACAATTAATGAAAGTTATTGACAGATTGTAGGAGGTTTTTGACCAGTTATGGCTGGTCATGAAGAAAACTGGAGCTTGAATCCAGGGGATGATGGGTTAAAAGATTTCCCTCTCACCTGAAGGGTCCAGTAGGATCTATTATTTTGCCGCATTTTTCAGGTTTCTCCACTTCAGCCTCAAGTTTGGGGTCACATTCTGGGTCAGGCTTAGTGCCGGGGGTGCATCTAAACAAAGACAGAATTGAGTATTCTTCTTCTAAGTGAAAAGTACAACCAGACTCAACATTTTAGAGCAAATCAAATCCCAACACATAACATAATAGCTGCAGAGTGAGTTTCTTTCTGAAACAGAAATGGAAACATGAGCAACTGCTCTATTGCTAATTCTTTATAAAATACACATTTTTAAAAATTTAAATAAATTATTATATTAAAAACAGCATGACAGGTTTTTTATGCACACTAGCCTTTACTCAGTGAGAGCATGTCCCTCAGATGTAGCTTTGTCACATTCTGTGATTATAGCCAAGAAATAAGTCTATTTAACTCACGAGTCGTCTTCATCCTCTTCTGTCTGCCAGCTGTTACCAAAGTCATTGACATTTCCAACCAGGGTGCCGTCCGGTTTGGTGAAGTCATTGTTTGGATTTCCATTGTAGTCCCCACAGAGACCACACATCTGGTCATGGTAGGAACTGGAGAGCAACAAGAGGACACAAGTTTTAAATCAACTCCAGGGTCTTCAATGAATAGACAAAATGAAGTGTTCAAACACAGTGGATGATTCTTGTTTCAGTGTTGCATGAACTGAGGTGGAGGTTAATCTGCATAGACTGACAACCTATTAGCTCACATTGCTTATATTTTAACAATGGATAGGGCAATGCATTGAATCATCAAGTCATCGGCAATTCCCTGACAAAAATGGATGTTGTGTGTATTTAATCATAAACATCAACTCAATAAGCTGTCTCAGTTGTTGTGTTGTTGGGCAAGACTCCTCACCCCCACTGCCTCTGATGTGTGTCCCATCAGTGTATGAATGTGATTTAAAGCCCTGATCAGTCTCCATAGATGAYTGTACATGTTAGCTTTGTAGAGACCTAAYAGAGTGCTGTGTGAATGGGTAAATGAGGACACAGATTGTAGTGTGACTGGTTGGATAGAAAAGACACTATGGTCCGTTTACAGACAGTTAATTTGATTGGGAAAAGATCTGCATTTTGATGGATGCTGATGAGAAAGCATTTCTTGATGTTTCACTAAAGGCTTCAATAAATTATTGTTGTTTATTTTCAACAAATAAATCTGAACGTCATCTGCAAACGATGGAATGGGACATTAATTTCTTTAGAAATGGACCCCAAAGGTAACTTGTATATTGAAAATAGAACATGGCTAGTATTGAGCCTTGAGGAACTCCACATGCAGGTAGTGTTGCAGCAAATGAATATTGATTTCTAAGTCCTGTCTATCAAATGATCTGAACTTAGGGCTGGACAATATGGCTAAAATTTATATCAATATATATTTCCAAATTTTGATCAATAAAATATAATTTGGATATCAATATAAATAATAAAAATGTTAGAGGACAGTACTTGTTACACATCCTATGAT